CTTTCTCTCATCTAACCGCTCATCCTTTAGCATTTGTGTTATTTTCTTGTGGTGATGTGGTGCTGTCATGTCCACTTCTCTGTCCACATAAATCATCCTCCCCTTTCCTCTCCGTTGATTTATCGCCATCGTATTTCTGATGTTTTATGACTGCACTGCTTAACAAGTTTTCAAAGCTTTGAGATGAATTTGAAATTCACTGATATTTACATCCTCTTTCCCTTTTTGTTCCCCTTTTCATTTCTTTTTTTCTCATCTTCTCCCTTCCTCTAATTCCATGTTTTCCCTCAATCAACGAATAGCGACAAAGACCTACTCAGCCAGACAAGAACTCTTGCTATGTCGTTTGTAAAATGCGCTAGCACAGATACCGAGCACCAATACAAACTTGTCAAAGATATTTCCTTCTGATATTAAGATCAATTTACTCTTTGTTACTTAACACTAGTTGTGTGGCGATATGCAGTGTTCTTAAAAAGTGACGAGTTGATCGTTTTCACTAGCCTGTTTTTAAGTTTTATTTGACGATGGTTACTGTTTTCCACATACTATTTAGTGAGCAAATCTTTCTCGTGGTTCTATAGCATAATTATTTACCTGTAACATTTAACAGTCAAAGAAACCACTAATATGACATGGCTTTTATCACAGTCTTCAATAAATTTGATGTTTTCAACTACTCGTACCTGTTTACTTGGTGAATTATTTGTCAGTAAAAGTAAAAAATCGAAAGTTACCTCGACCCGTATGAAATTTCAAACTCATTTCAGCTCTCTGGCTTTTCCCGCAGCACAACATTTCTGTCATCTGGCTCTGTTTTTGTTCTCGCTCTGTCTTGGCTGTTGAATTATGGCCATCTTTTTATTTTGTATCCCATATGTTCCAATACATCCCCGTCCATTCCATTACATTCAGAGCCGTAGTTTTACCCAGTTGGTTTGAATTACACCAGATTGCAGGATGCCGAGAGGGAACGCACCAGTGCCGAAGACGGGGTGCGCAAATTCAAGCAGGACTTCACGAACAAAGCTGACAGTCTCCAAAAGCAGATAGTCCAGAGAGAGAAGCAAATGTAAGTTTTGCAACGAGTAAGTTCACGTGGCTCATTTCGAATTAGAATGAATCACTGTGTCTCATTTATTTAGATGCTCCAGTGGAAAATAGTACGATTTTAGTTGACACTTTCTGTTTAGGATGCAGCTGGAAACAGACTTGAAAATAGAGAGGGATTGGCGGCAGACGTTACAGAATGAATTGGAAAGAGAACGAGAGACTATCGCCCAACTCGCTGCTGAAGCACAGCAAATCAACGGACTCAAAAAAGTAAGATGAATTGCTCTATTATGGCGAGATAAATAAATCTAATAACCATTAAAGGATTGGTTCACCCCAAATTTTCAATTCTGTCATCATTTACTCACCCTCAAGTTGTTTCAAACCTGTAAGAGTTTTTCTTCTTAAATATGGTTACCCATATTCTTTTGTGTTCAGCAGAAGAAAGAAATTCATACAGGTTTGAAACAACTTGTGGGTGAGTAAATGATGACAGACTTTTGATGACTTTCCCTTTAAGTCCACAATAAATCTGTATGAGGACTAAGGTGCTTGTATCATTTAATATGCTTCTTTGTGGCTCTTTTTGTTTGACTATGCCAGTCTTGGGCTCTGATGTATGTTCATGTCCTTTCAGGAGTTTCACAGGTTGCAGGATGAAAACACCCAGCTGAAGGGAATTTGTGAGGAGCAGGAACATGCGCTGGAGGAACTGGGGTGCAAACTCAGCGAGTATGTACGATTTAAACGTCAGTGCCTTTTGGGAGCCTTCAAATCATGTTATTCTTTTACTGATGCACACATTTTTCTTGTTCAGGTCAAAGTTGAAAATTGAAGATATAAAAGAAGCCAACAAGGCACTTCAGGTTTGCATTGAATCATTGTTTGAGATCAAACAAACAAAAGGTTTTTATGGACATGTCCCATGCTATGTATCAAAGAAATCTGAAACCATCACAGTGCTTTTTTTTTTTTTTTTTTGGTAAGAGAATTATCAAAGTTTAATCAGTTCATTTGTCCCACATGTTCATATTAATAAATAATTTATTTCAGGGTGGACAGGTCTGGCTGAAGGACAAAGATGCTACGCATTGCAAGCTTTGTGAGAAGGAATTTTCAATCTCCAGAAGAAAGGTCTGAACCAAAATGCAGTGCTGTAATACACAACAGCTTGCTGTCAGTTCTCACACATCCACACTAATTCAACTGGTCTAAATAAAGAAATTGACTGGCACAAAGACGATATTGGATTTATGCACTTGAAAACATTTCCAGATGGAGATTAGATGAGACTTGAATAAAAGACTGAGTTGGCAAACCTTGAAGTCGTCATGAAATGAAAAATCATCATTTTTTAATGCATGTTATAGGTCTTATAGTGAATGATTCATACGTTTGTTTCATTCTTTGAACTCGTAATCTGTAATCAAAATGTCTTAACTTGGGCTACGTTCACACTGTCAGTCCTCTTTAAAGTTGAGTTAATTCTGACTGCTTTTATCGTTCGTCAGCTGGAAAAATAGTTCTGAAAGTGATTCCAATATCGTTATCGTTATTAGTTTTGTCAAAAGTACAGACTTCGGTACCAAGTTGGAACTGAAATTTTGTGAATGTGACGATACCAGCAGATCCGTCTATCAGTGGGAGTAGGGATCCGCTAATAGACGCCTACTTTCAAACTCTCCCGTGTGTATCTGTGTAAGCCCTCTGTGAAGATAACATGTTTTTGAAGCGTTATTCATTGTAGCCAATCACAGACATATATGTTGAGCGCGTGAACGCAATGGCCAATCAGAGGTGTTTAAGAATCCATTTAACAGCGCTCAAAATGCAAGAGGGAAATGCTGGTATCGTCACATTTTTTAAACTTCAGTGCCGACTTGGTACCGGAGTCGGTACTTTTGACAACACTAATCGTTATAGTTGTAGTGTGGACTTCCCTATTCTCATAGAATTGGAATGATTATCAAAGCCTTAGCGTTATATTGATCATCCTTGGTGTGAATTGGCCTTTACTCTGAAAACTTCTGCATTATGTATTTTTTTTCTTCCATGAAAAACAACTAAAAAGATATTCCCCAGAGCAACTGTTTGGATGAATCCCAGCTTATCATTTGTTTTTTTGGATCAGATTCATTTTGAGTCTGATCCAAAAAAAAAAACAAGACTACTGGCCCTTTAATTGAATGCCCTCATGATCTCTTGTTTGTCTTTGAACAGCATCACTGCAGGAACTGTGGGGAGATCTTCTGCAATGCATGCTCAGATAATGAGCTGCCGCTCCCCGCCTCACCTAAACCCGTGAGAGTCTGCGACACCTGCCACGCTCTGCTCCTCCAGCGCTGCTCTTCCAATGCAACATAAGATAGAAATGACAGCACATCGCCACAAGGGCTAAAATCAGCTTTAAATCGGACACTACGCTGTCCCGCATCGTCAAAGTGACCAAAATGGATGCACCCGTTTCTCTGTTTGAAGTTTACATTTCACATAGGAAAAAGCCTTTTGACACAGAGCAAACTTAATGGAACTTGTGCAGATGGCCAATGCAGTGTTTGTGCGCAATGAAAGAAACGAGTTTACAAATGGATTACTGACTCTGAATCCCTCCATCTGGGCTGCAAGTAGACAAATTTAGATTATTTATATTAGTATAACACTCCCATGCATTGTAAATATACTTTTGATATATGAAGGGTGAACAGGTTTCATTTCTTCACAAGTCAAAAGTAAGCAAATGCAGTTATTTGAAGGGATGTCATTTCTTGAGCAATTATATTTCAAATTCAGTTGAAAGAACGTTACATTCATGTGTGCCTGTATAACAAGCCAAACTGATAAACAAGGGTTTGACACATTTCCCTGAATCTTGATGGGCAAAAAATGTGTGTATATACAAGTAAAAATGTTGTCAGTGCCACTCAAGCATGACTGAGATAGATTCACATCAAATAGCACAGAAATTATGTTCTGAATATGGTGTTCAGGTTTCTTGTCTGCAATTTTGTATTATTTCACTATTGCAGATTTTCCTTGGTACAGAACTGGGACACTACTCACTTTGAGTATTTGTGCTAACTTTTGTCAAAAAAAAAATTCAAAATACAGCTGTTCACTTAAATGTGAGATTTATGTATGAAACTGTACATATGCCTTAAACCACTAAAGTTGATTATAATTCCATTTCTTGTGTGATGTATCTTATAGTTCCTTAATATTTAGGTGCTGAGGTACATCCTGTACACACTACAATTCAATCTGAGGTCAGTACGATTTTCTTTTCTTTTTGTGCAAAACAAATTGTTTTGAAAGAAATTAACACTTTTATTCAGCAAGGACACATTAACCTTGTGAAACCTGACAGAAAAATCTTATTTCTTTTTAAATGCAAGAGTTTAGTGAACCTTTCTATTACACCTGTATGTGTTTTTTTGCTATACATCAGGCTTTTATGGCTCAAATTTATTGAGGCCCAAACCGAGAAAAAAAAAAAAAGCACTTTGGTGCAGCTGCTGATATTTATATTCCTAAAAAATGTGAAATTCTTATAGCTTGTAATGTAAATCACTATTTTATAATATAGCAGACTACTTGCATAAAATGCATATGAATGTCAGTTATCACTCTATATCTCCAAATAATATAAATGTAATAGATTGTGAACAGGTTGTTAAACAAAGTTGAGATCATGTTGATAATTTGGAGGCCTTGGAAATATAAAGTAGGGTTAAAGCAATCAAAAGTGACACTAAAGACCAGCAGAAGAAACTCATTACCAGCCCCCACCTTTTGAACGGTATAGTGTAAAAAACTAGAAAACAAAATTGTGTACTGTAAAATATAATATATAAATGGATTGTTGCCATATGTTCGATCTAGCTCTAATCAAAACCAAGACATCACACTTTATTCTTACACGACATTTGCCTTCAATGAACATTCTCTGGTTAAAAATAAAATATACCAATAAAAGGTTTTATTCCATGGATGTGAACATTTCACAGGTTTCAATTAGAAATTTTACCGAGCAGCAAAAACAGGTAAACATCCAAAATGATGTTATTGCTTTAAAAGTGCAGTCTCACACTCCAAACTTGGGAATCAAGCTATTCATAACCATTGTTGAGTTAAAATACATACAAAGAGCATATCTTAGACCAACACAGAATATGTCATATAAAATTCAATAAGCAAAATGTACAGTAGCCGGTCAATATATATATACACATATGCAACAGCTAATTTTCTCAGGAACATGTGAAAACATATCTGTACAAAAAGATCTTCCAAGCTAGAAGCTCCAACTTTGGGTTGAAAAGTGCATGTATTGCAAGCATCCTCAGTACATTTCCCTTAGTCCACTTCCTCGAGAGCCCATGCCACCAGAGTTGCCATAGAAACCTCCTCCGCGGCCTGCAGTTTTCATGGCCCCAAAACAAAAGACTCACATTTGAATGTTGTCTTCACACCTTCTCATCCATACACTTCAACAAAACTATTACATAATAACAACCTCTACATACGGTAGTCATACTAACCCATTTCAGACGGCCCACTTGAAGTTGAATTCAGGAAAAGCTCAATGTAACGATGCTCTACAAAGAGGATGCAATGTTAAATGGGATGATGCAAAAAACAAACAAACATAAGGACAGTGATGCAATTTGACTAACGCCGCCTTCACACTGGCAGTTGAAATCAGCTCCGTAATACGCGTAATCCGTAATCCCCAACGGACGTCGTACTACACAGTGAAAAGCGTCGGAAGCGGGTAGAACAAAAATGGCGGAGAGATTAGAAAGGTTGATTCTGTCAGTTCTGTATGATCTCTCTGATGAGGGTTATAGAGATATTAATAGGAAGGCTGCTGCGTGAGGAAAGTTACTCAGGACGTTGACATGTCAGGTCGGCTAAAAAATGTGATATAGTGGTATAATTTATACCACTATATCACATTTAGTTCGATGTCTGCCTACAATTTAATTGTATTAACTGCCCTAATAACGTTAGCAAATCATGAAAATAAAAAAAATGACATGACAACTTAACTTTTAATAAAATAAATAATGATTTTATAACGATAAGAATTCAGGTTTGTTTATCAGTATCATAGCAACGCTAACTTCCGCTGGAATTGTCGGATAGGAACCGTCCGTAGCTTTTCGCAAGAGTTCAATTTTTTGAACGCATCCGGATGACCAACGGACACGGTTTTCTTCGCACCGCACTCTGTCGGACCCGTTTCGGACCCATTCGCATGCGGTCTGCGAATCTCCATAGGAAATGAATGACTTCCGATCGTTTCGGAGCTGATTTCAACTGCCAGTGTGAAGGCGGCGTAAGACAAAGGTTTGGAAATGAAAACAACTTACGCATATGATTCTTGTCCTTTGACATGGCAGACACAGCATTTTCATGAGATCTGAACTCAACATCTGCCTCTCCTGTAGACTTTCCATTGGGTCCTACATCAATGTGCACCCTCACAGGGTTCAAAGGGGCAAAGAACTGAAAAAGAAAACAACACTTACACAAGGGCAATAATACCTTTACTTTAAAATATTGTAAGGGTATATCCACAAGAAACGGCAACACTGGTGTTTCTTACATGTGCAATATCTGCCTCCGTAGCACGGAACGGTAGGCCTCTCATGTGCACGAAATGGCTGCTGTGAAAGCCTGAGTTTGAATCGCTGCTGTAACCATGATCCCCCATTCCTCTTCTTCCTCTATCACCACGCGCACGCTCTTCAAACACGCCGTTACCAAAGCAGTAGTTGTTAAAGCCATTGTAGTTGTCAAAGCCACCATATCCTTATGAAGGAGAGACAATTCAATACGTTAATTTGAGGTCTGAAACAATAGACAGTCAATAATAGCTAAGTCACATATCATCACTTCCTGTCAGCAAATACGCAACTATTCAAAAGTGGGGGATTTTTTTACGCGTTTGTCTTAAGCTCACCAAGACTACATTTATCTGATCAAAAACACAGCAAAAACAGTAATACTGAAATATGATTACTTTTTAAAGTAATTGTTTTCTATTTTAATACATTTTAATTTATTCCTGTGATGCAAAGCTGAATTTTCAGCATTATTACTCGTTTTCAGAGTCACATGATCCTTCAGAAATCATTCTTATATGCTAATTTGCAGCTCAAGAAACATTTCTTATTATTTTCGATGTTGAAAACAGTTTTGCTGCTTAATATTTTTGTGGAAACAGTGGCTACGTTTACATGCAACCAAATTGACGGCTCAATCAGACTGAAAAGACCATATGTAAACACCTTAATTGATCCGATTGAGCTCGATCATGTGCAATGACGTAGAAATAGCGTAATGACGCGCGGAACGAGCTGTTCTTCCTGTTGAATAAAGTGTTATATAAATGAGTGTCCGCTGGCCATTCTGGACAACATCCCACCAGTCCTTGTTTCTCATTCTCATCCACAGACGACGCGGAGAGGGGCATTTTTACAGCGTGATAAATATAAGCAGCTCGGCACAACGGTCCATATGCTCATTGTCTCCAAATTATGACCAGAAATGGATAAATATTAAGTCTGCTGTTTAAAACAAAAAAAGAACCAATGTAGGAGAATGGTTATTATGCGCTAACAGCAAGAAACTCTGTATATTCGTGCAGTTTGCGCATGTCAAAAAATCTATTCCGATTTAAAGCTTGTGACATAAACGTAAACGCGCACATCAACCCGATCACATGGTTAGCGTTCATGTAAACACTACGTTCGGATTCATCAATTGGAATGAATTCAGTCCGATTGAAACAAAAGTTGTGCATGTAAATGTAGCCACTGATACATTTAAGGATTATTTGATGTATAAAAACCAAAAAGCATTTATTTGAATCTTTTGTAACATTAAAAATGTCTTTACTGTCACTTTTGGTCAATTTAATGTGCCCTTGCTAAACAAAAGTGTTACTTCAATTTATTAAAAAAAAACATTTGTGAATTAGCCTTTCCATCGGTTACTATCCATCTGAAACCTAGTGAGTGAATTATTAAAGACTAATAAAGTAGCATACCGCCACTGTAATCACCTCCGCTGCGCATCTGGTCCAGGACGGCACCTCCCCTTGCAGGCCCGGTCCCAAAGAAGCTCCCGCGTCCCATCATGGGTCTGTCATATGGACTAGGCCTCTGTCCCAACATCCTCCGGGGTACTTCATAGTATGCACGCATTTCATTTCGGCTGCTTTTGAATATCTCTATGTACCTGAGTTTATTTTGAAATGCAACGCGTTAATGAACTTACAGGCTTGTTGAATGTTTAACAGAATTAAGGAGAGGAGAGACAGTATTTGGGGCCCAGTGACTAATTTCATCACAATAACTGACAATTTATTGTCAGGTATTGACCAGAGGGAGAAGTAACAAGTGTCTGAAATGCTGCCCGTACTATAAAGGCCCGTTCACACCAAGGACGATAGCTATAATGCTAACGATAAAGATCAAGTCCACATAACTGTAACAATAATGGGCCAGAGAAACGATATTGTTGGAATCACTTCCAAAACAACTTTTTATTTATTTTTTCAGCTGATGAACAATAAAAACATTTACAGCCAATCAGAATCCATCCTGCTTTAAAGAGCTCGAGCATTTAAACTGGCAGACAACATAACTGCATTGTGCTTAGAATAAACAGAACGATATCATCTGCTGGTGTGGATACTAATATAGTTATCATTCTTGGTGTGAACGGGCCTTAAGTCTTGAAATTTAACTGCATCTAAAGGCCATTTTTAGACCTAAACAGAATCTTAAAAATATATTAAAGTGCCTGTTATTAAAAAAGGCTCCTTTGCTTCTGCAGTACGTGTTGCCCAACGACATTATGAAATCATATTTCTGCTGATTGCCTTTTTTTGTCCCCTTATGACAGTGTAATGTGAAATTAAACATTCCAAGAGTGATAACATGATCAAACCATCTTTTTCCAGAGCAGAAAGATGCATGACCCCCCCACCCCACATTTAGAGATAGCATTAGCACCCAGCCCAGTCTTGCCGGCCCCACCTGTGCCCTATTCTTTCCTTGTGTTTCCCCAGAGCCTTTTCTGCTATCTCCTTTGAGGCAAACTGCACGAAGGCTTCCCCTGTGCTCCTCCCCTGGTAGTCCATCGGCAATGTTATCCCATTTGGCACGATTTTCAACCCTTTAACCCAAGGACAAATAACCCCACATGGGGAGACATGTTAAAGAGCCGCAACATTCTCATCTGCAGAAAAGACATCCCCCCAATTGAACCCCTAAATCATTCCCTTTGGCAGACAGAAAAGCCCTAGAGCACACCACAAAGGATAAATCCATGAAATTATAAGACAATCAATCAAGAAATCATAGCACAGCTTTCTCAAGGTTGCTGGCGATATATATATAAATAGCATCAAAAACAACCAGAACATGCTCAATAATAGTTTGATGTGAGAGTTAGAAGAGTATATAAAAAGAAAAACCTTCAAAATATGATCTGACTGACTATATAAAAGGCATGATAAACTTTCACAAGAAGCACTGACACAATTTAAACACCACAACCCAGAAAACACAACTCATAAAGATCCCTAGCTATACCTTCAAGTCTAGGAGGTGATGAAGTGAAACAACAGATGTACCTGAAAAGAACTGTACAATTTCTTCTTTACTGCAGCCGAACGGCAGTCCTCTGAGACGCAACATGCAACCGCTGCCGCTGTCATAATCTGTGGGACCGGAGCGTTTCAGCACCCAATCCATCTCACTACGGTTTGACCTGAACACTATGGGAAGGGTCAAGAGGCAGACAATATGTTATATTTTAACACAAGTACAAATGTGCAGACATCTCATCTGGTTTAACTTGTGCTATTTAAAGTCAGTATGAAACAGAAAATGCTTCTCAAATGATAAACAAAATGTAGCCCGGTACTTGTTTTTGTTTATCAGAAATTGATTGGTTCATTTTGATTTGATAATTGCTACAAAATCATGTGAGTGACAGGTTACTGGAGCCAAGAGAAGGAGACGTTAATGTTTTGATCAAATATTAAGAGTACATGAATGTAAAAATGTTATTCCATCAAAAATAAGAATGGCCAATTTTGGTTTCATGCTGGCTTTAAATACAATTACACTATTATATACAATGACAGAATTTTTTACATTGCGGACAAGAGTGTACCTTCGATATAACGGTGACCCATGTATTTGCGATCTTTTGCCAAAGCCCTTTTAAAGTCTTCTGATGTCTTCAGCTCCACAAATGCCTCTCCACTCGGCCTTCCCTCTTTGGAGAAGGTAAAACACACCCCGTTGACTTTCCCTACAATGTCACAATCTGGAAATGAACAAAGAAAAATGGAAATTGTATCTCTTTTTCTTCAAACACAGAATGCTACAAAAGATGCTTTCAGTTTGAGTGTTTGCATACCAGAGAAAAAGGAGGCCACTTCCTCCTGTGTGCATGACCAGGGTAAACCACGGATCCGCACCACGTATCCTTCATCATTATGAGACATGTTTACCTGGTCAGGTCTGTATCTGAAAAACAAATTAGTGTAAAACATGGGCTGTGCTTTCAAACCCAGTGAGTTGCCTAATGCTTACCTAGATAGCACTGTGTTAACTAGTCAAACTAAAAAAAAAGTAACTCAATAAAATTTTTCTGTCTTGACAACCTGGCGGTGTATCAAACCTAGTGAGCTGCCTAGCTAGACAGCACTGTGTTAACTAGTCAATACTCGATCAAAATAGTTCGTATTATTATTATTTTTCTTTCTTGACAACTTGACAGTGTATCAAACCCAGTAAGCTGCCTACCCAAACGTAATTTTTGGGCATTTCAGTAGAGTTCGCCCGCACGTTAGAACGCTTGTATCACGCCCAAAAATGCTATCTAGGTAACTTAGGCAGTTCACTATGTTTTGAGGCACAGCCATGTTGTCAAAAGTCAGAGGCTTCAGTCAATAGATAAAAAGACAAACAATAATGACATGTCACACAAATGCAATGTTTTGGTGTAGTTAGAGGAGTACTGACTACGTTAGTATAAACCAACTGGCATCTCTTATATTAAACAACAATTAAGTTAGCCAACGTTAGCTAGACACCACAACCCGGTATTTCAAAATATAATAGGCTTTTAAACTTAAGAGCAAGCTAACATAGTAAATGTTAGAGATTCCAAAAGCAGGTCGGTCATGTGTCAAGTTAACCGCAACCGACAACCGAAACTGGCATGTGAACTTTAATCAAAACGACTTTAATATTAGAGAGATATTCGGCTGACAGGAATTAACGACCGACAAGTTGTCAGTTTCTAGGACGAAAACCAGCACTTCCGCGATACAAAGTACACAAAATATATTTACTATTGAATGTAAATATTAAGTAGTATGTGCATGAATATCGAATAACTTCTCACCGTCAAGCGCCTGTCCTCTCAGGTAACGTTAACCCTGAACGGATAGTGTAGTCCAGACCAGATAGTCGAAGTCTCGCGAGAACGCGCCTGTCAGAGGACATTGACCTCGCTGCAGGCACGCAGAACGGTCTGACGTGTGAGCAGAGGCTTCAAGCGCATGTGGCACGAGCACGAGCACCACGGAGGATTGAGGAATCATCAAATATAATTACTAGGCTTATACTTAATCCTGTATAATACTAGCACATCCGAACGCTCCATACTCATAATAAAGCCATGTGTACTACCGCGAGAGATTCTGCAGCTCTATACAAATACAGCTGAGGGAAGTAAAGAAAGCCAGTGAAGCTAATTCCACTTAGATATCCCCCTTAAATTAAGTTAAGTTATGAATGTCCATTAACACAATAATGCAGAGAAAATAAATAAAATGTAAATAACGCCAATAAATGCAAATGTATCAGGAAGAGTTTTTGACAATGAAAAATTCAACCATACAAATTAGTTTATTATGAAAAAATGATTAATTATAGACACCCAGAAATATTAATATTGAAACTGACTGGAATCATAATACATTTGCACTTTATATTAAATGTCATTAATTACAATGTACTAACATTTAAATGAATCATTTGATTCAATGCACGTGTTGAGTAAGCTATTAGATCTTTTACGCTGTATTTATATATTTAAAAAAAATAGTGATAAATTACTAACATATAGCCTACATTTCATTGTTTTTAATGAGCTTTAACACTCAATGATATGAGTAAATCACCTCAAAGAAACATTCTGAAATCTTGTTGCCTGTAACATTAAAATGGGATATTACACTACTGGGGTCAAAGTCTCAACAAGCCTCAAAGCACTGGACTATGAATTCCTAAACGTACAAAACTCTGCCTTTAAAACAGCTGCAACAAATGGAAATTCCTATATTTACTGTTGATGCTTTTACTAATGTACCTTTCAAAGGTAATCCTGCTGCAGTATGTCTTATAGAGCATGTAAGTATTACACCATCACAAGATTTTTTTTCTTTCTTACCATTTAAATATGTTAGCACTTAAAAATATCTGTAACACTTTACATTAAGGTTTCATTGTTAACATTAGTTAAGTACATTAACAAACTAATAATGAACAATACTTCTAGAGCATATATTAATCTAAATGTTAATCTCAACATTTACTAATACATTTTTAAGATCAAAAGTTGCGTCTGCTAACATGCACTGTGAATTAACCCTTTAAGTGTCACCCCCCTTTTTTTGAATATACATGAAAATGCACATTTCGAACTTAAATGGTTGTAATTCAAGAATGCTTTGGAATATAGACGTAAGATTGGTCTTGTTTTAAAGAAGACATTTGGCAGATTTTTGTAGAAGTGAAATAAATTAAGAAAGTGAAACAGAAAAAAAGTTATAGAAGTTTGAGTTTATGAAAATGTACAATGTAAAAAATTTAATTATTCATATTTTATATAAAATATATATTTTCAAAACCTGGGCGACTCTAAAACTGCAAAAAAAATCAAAGCCAAAAATCTGAACAAGTTGTGTTTCAAATTGTAGGTTGATATCTCAAAAAATGAGCTTTCAGTGAGATTTTGTTTGGGCGCAGTACCAAACTTTTTCACTAGATGACAACCAGACTCCATTACTGCCCATATAAGGGCGCCTCCATTTCCATATGTGTTTTGAGTGATATGAACCATTATTTCCACAATTTTCATACAATTTATGAAGTAGACATCCTATTCAGAAGTAATATGAGAAGTTTGGCAGATTTTGATATGATTTCAACCTCTAAGAAACATAAAAAGAACACGTATGTGCGTTTTAGCTTCCTGCCACATCATATAATTTTTTTTCTTTATATAAAAAAAAAAATTCAGACCTTTTTTTTTTTTAAATAATTGAATGGATGCTATCTTTTGAACTCTTGGCATGAAAACAAACTGAGGTTTCTACCCTTCTTTCATGATTTTTCATGTTCATCACTATTTCAAAATAAAGGTCTAAGAGTATGAAAATATTATTGTTGCAAATTGATAAATTACGGCTCCTCTGTAATTTATTTTGAAAATCAATCACCAAATATGGAAACTAGAGATTGTAAGCTTTCAAATGATATATAGTTTGTCAAGATTAGTTTAGGTTTAGTATAGGATATTACTGTTTTAAAAATGTAAAGGATTAGGGGCCCACCGGTGGGCCCGTTTAACATGAACAAGAACATTTTAATTATCTAACATTAATAAATGCTGTAAAATATATTACTAATTGTCAGTTAATGCATTAACTAATGTTAACTAATTAGACATTATTGTAAAGTGTTACCAAAATATCATAAGAATATAAAATATATTTCTCTGTAATACATTTAGGAGCTGCAAGATGATCTTTATCAAAGCATTGCTGCTGAGATGAATTTATCAGAGACTGCTTTCATCACAAGACTGAATCCGATGGATTTTTCCTCAGGTATTCTACTGTATTCTGCAGCTGAAATGCATGTTGAAATACTCAAAAAACTTTCATTTACATTCTGAATTTGATGTATTTTGAAAGGTGAAAAGTTTGGGTTACGCTGGTTTACCCCCAAAACTGAGGTTGCACTATGTGGACATGCAACACTGGCCTCAGCAGCAGTGCTCTTTTACATTAAAAGTAAGAAACGCTCATCCTGACATTAATCTTTTACAAAAAAACAATGGACTGATGACTTTTCTAAAAGCACAATACCATCACACAGAGAATATCAACCCTGTTGTGGTGTTTGAGACGATGAGTGGTGATCTTAAGGTGCGCCAGCATGAAGAATCTCTAATAATGGACTTCCCCTTAAACAAACCAAAGCCCCAGGTATGACCAAGACACCTCGTGGACCCTTTCTTCAATAAAACTAATGTAGATTCTCATGATCAAGTAGTTGCTCTTGGTCTAAATTTATAGATTTTTTTATTTATTTTGCAGGACCAACATGAAATCAAAGATCTGTTGAAAGTATGTTTGCCAGGGAGTAATTTAGTATCATATTAGGTTTCCAATATAACATAAGGAGAAACAAGCATTTATGTTCATTTTCAGGCTGCTGTTGGAGACTTACCCATTCAGGATGTGTGCTACTGTCCAACAACAAAGAAACTAATGATTCGTCTTGCTGACACATGCGACAGGTACTGCTCGACATTCTCAGGCATTTCTGAAAATTACAAGAAAGAAAATAAGACTGATGCAGGGGCGTAGTTTACAAAAACATTGTTGATGAATATTGGGGGGTGGGGGTATTGTTCTTGCTTGCTTTGGTTATCCCCCCAATAACCAAAACAAGCAAGGGACGTTCAATTGAACAAACGTTCTATTAACGTTACTGGAAGAATGTTAATGTTATCTGGTCTTCAATAATGTTCTTAGAAGGTTAGCACAAAAACATTATTTATACTTTCTTTGTAGAGATTTTTTTTAAATGTCCTCAATGTTGGGAGAAAACATTCTTAGAACAACATTCTTGGAACATCTTTTAAACATGTAAAATGACAACAAACTTCAAATGAATAAGGTCGTGTGTGCTGTTTTAAAAGAACTTCCTTGGAACGTGGGAAAGTTTTATAGCCTGTCCCATAGTTATTATTTATAACTTCTCTCTTAAATTTATGTAAAGGTTATGCAAGTGTTTGAATTAAATACTTTCAAAACAATGGTCATGAAATCACTATATTGTCATTAGTATTTGATGAATGTTCTTATAATGTTGGCAGAAAACATTCTTTGAACAACATCCTTCGATTGTCCTTAAAATATTGAGGATCACTAACTTTTGGCTAACAATGGCTTAACAACCTTAAGCCATTGTTAGCCAAAAGTTAGTGATCCTCAATATTTTAAGGACAATCGAAGGATGTTGTCCTTGATGCTACACAGCAAAATACCCTGTTTCATTAAAACTGCTCAATGTTCATATGTATCCACACTACAGAGTTAAATGTAACTGAAGCAGAGCAGGAGTTTGTTAGATAATTAAGTGATGATTGACCATTAGTGATGACACACAAGGAAAGAGGAACAAACATTTGAAGTCACCATTATGGTGGTTAGTGTTTCCTGTAGTTGGGCTCTTGACTATTTTATTAGTTTTTCTCTGGCTATACCTGTAATATCCTTATTGTAACAAATCCAATAGTTAAACAATTACAAGAACTATGTTCCTTTTTCATAAGGCAAAGTACAAGTTAGAATTGTACTTGAGCTTGTATGGACCTTCTTGAATTATTGACTAAAGAATTGGTTTTCCCCGTGTGTAAAATGTGTTCTGCTAATAATGGCAAATAGGAAAAACCTGTCTTTCAGATATTCCAAGAGATGACAGGAAATCAACATTTTCAGTATAAGAACATTTTATGTAAAATTAGTTTGACCTACCATAGCACTTTGATTTAGAAAATTCAGTCAAACTGATAAGGTTTTAGGTGCTTATGTAATCATATCCTACGTAAACAAGTAATTGTTAACTAGGGTATTACTTTCTTGCAGTTAAGTTAACAACCAACTTTGCATGTGGATGATACCACAAAATACCATTTTGCAAAAATAAACAAATAAATCTCACAAGGGAGCATGCCCCGGGATCCTGCTAAATGGTTCACACTTTTTTTTAAATATAAATACGAACAACCAGAGACAAGAACTTGTAGTATGTTGGTAACATTCTCCAAAAATATGTATCAGTAAGTACTGTATAAGTTAAGTTTTTGCATCTAAAAGTTCAGCTTTATAGAACCTTGAAGAGTTCTATCATGTGCTTCACAGAACCTGAATTAAGCAGCTCGTAAACTACTTTATCACTATGAAAATTTTTAAATAACCCGTTTGAGGTATTAGGCAATCATTTAAGACATTTCTCCATATATAAAATCTTTTTGGCATAAAGGCGTCTTTAAAATGGAGTCAAGAACTCTAGGGTTCTATATTGAACCCCACTGAACCTTTTCTTCTAAGAGTGTCTGCAAGGTTGGTGACTGTTTGTTGTTGGCAGCTCTAAACTTACATCTTTGAGGCCTGATGCAGAAGCTCTGCTGAAAAACGAATCTACTGGGAAGCTTAAAGGCGTCATTGTTACAATGAAAGGAGCTCCGACTGCACAGCCTGGATATGACTTCTATTCCCGTTACTTTGCCCCTTGGTTTGGCATCCCTGAAGATCCAGTCACTGGTGAGCTGAAATGATCAACATAGGTCTCTAAATTCAAAACCTACAATACATATGGAGAAATATGTAGAAGTTTCCACATGTGAATGTAAAGCCATGAATTTTAATGGATATGTACAATGACAACTAGTCATCATAATCTCATATGAATTTGATTAATTCTTTAAAAGACTAATAATTCTTTTAAAAAGGGTCTGCACACACAGTTCTTGCTGGCTACTGGTCTGAAAAGCTGAATAAAAAGAAAATGTTGGGTAATGGTCTTTTTTCCCTTTATTGTACTAGAATACAAATCAGAATCCACATTAAAATGAAGCTGATAATGTCACTAGTCCACATAAATGTTTTAAGTTAATTAATGGGTTTCTCAAAAAGCTTGAATAAAATGCATAAAATACAGTATTTTTCCTCACAATAAAGTACATATCCCTTCTATATTTGTTTTTCCAGCCTACCAGTGCTCCAGTCGTGGAGGGGAACTGGAGCTGGAGCTCAGGGATGACGGTCGACTCAACATCAGCGGTCGGGCGCAGATCATTCTTCAGGGAACACTTAAAATCTAGACAACTTGCTCAATCTACTCTTTGAATCTGTGAATAGTTGAATGGAATCATGTTAATTTTCTTTCTTAATAAAGAGCTTCAAACTGATGTGTTTTCACCTAGGTAAATATGGCCAAAACTTTAATAAATTGAGATTAGGAGACTAAATAAAATTTTGTAAACATTCTACTATGTGATTAAAAACTAAGTCTGTGAAATCAAATGCATGTTTAAATCATTTTATTGTAAAATATTAATAAAACTGTCTGTTGGGCAAAGTAAGGCTCAGACATTTTGGTCCATAATGAAATGATAGCATCATGCAGTTGCTGCGGATTTGTCGGCTGCAAGTCCATGATGTAAATATCCCGTTCCACCACATCCCAAGATACTCTATTGGATTGAGATCTGGTGACTGTGGAGGCCATGATTTGAGCTTTGTGATGGCACATTGTTCTGCTAGAAATAGCCATCAGAAGATGGGAACACTGGTCATAAAGGGATGGACATGGTCAACAACAGTACTGTGGTGTTAAAACAATGCTCATTTGGTACTAAGAGGCCCAAAGTGTGCAAAGAAAATATCCCCCATTTACCACCAACCAACAGTAGCATGAACCATTGATACAAGGCAGGATGGATCCATGCTTTCATGTTGGTAAAGCCAAATTCTGACCCTACCATCTGAATGTCGCAGCAGAAATCAAGAATCAGACCAGGCAATATTTTTCCAGTCTTCTACGGTTTCATTTTGGGTAAGCGTAATGATCACTGAGATTGCACATTCTGACATGACTAAAAATCACTGAGAAGCTCTGGTAATAATTACTTTGCCTGTCCCCACCTCTCCATGTTAAACTAATCCCGTCCGAATAGGGCTTAGAGTGAAAAGTTCATCTAAAAAGAAATTTTGAAATCTCAATTCTGTACCTTTAACCTGAGCTGTTATATAAGGTTCAAAGTCTAACTTGATTTCAAATACTGCTCTAAGAATACCTAAAAGGTACGAGAAAAAAAACCCAGAGAGCTGAAAAGCTGTAATCAATGGAAATTCCAATATTTACTGTTGATGCTTTTACCAATGTACCTTTCAAAGGTAATCCTGCTGCAATATGTCTTATGGAGAATGTAAGTATTACACTATCACAAGACGGTCTTCTAAATACACTAACTTATTATTCATGGTAATAAAATGTAAAAGTGTTAGCATGTTACAATGTTATAAAATGTTTCTCTGTGATACATTTAGGAGCTGCAAGATGATCTTTATCAAAGCATTGCCGCTGAAATGAATTTATCAGAGACTGCTTTTATCACAAGACTGAATTCGATGGATTTTTCCTCAGGTATTCTACTGTATTCTGCAGCTGAGATGCATGTTGAAATACTAAAAAAAACCTCTCATTTACATTCTGAATTTGATGTATTTTGAAAGGTGAGAAGTTTGGGTTACGCTGGTTTACCCCCAAAACTGAGGTTGCACTATGTGGACATGCAACACTGGCCTCAGCAGCAGTGCTCTTTTACATTAAAAGTAAGAAACGCTCATCCTGACATTAATCTTTTACAAAAAAACAATGGACTGATTACTTTTCTAAAAGCAAAATACCATCACACAGAGAATATCAACCCTGTTGTGGTGTTTGAGACGATGAGTGGGGATCTTAAGGTGCGCCAGCATGAAGAATCTCTAGTAATGGACTTCCCCTTAAACAAACCAAAGCCCCAGGTATGACCAAGACACCTCGTGGACCCTTTCTTCAATAAAACTAATGTAGATTCTCATGATCATTCAAATAGTTGCTCTTGGGCTAAATTTATAGATTTTTATTTTATTTTATTTTGCAGGACCAACATGAATTCAAAGATCTGTTGAAAGTATGTTTGCCAGGGAGTAATTAAGTATCATATTAGGTTTCCAATATAACATAAGGAGAAACAAGCATTTATGTTCATTTTCAGGCTGCTGTTGGAGACTTACCCATTCAGGATGTGTGCTACTGTCCAACAACATGGAATCTAATGATTCGTCTTGCTGACACATGCGACAGGTACTGCTGGACATTCTCAGGCATTTCTAAAAATAACAAGAAAGAAAATAAGACTGATGATGGCATTGTATTTGTTAGATGAGATGATTAATGTCAAGAGAGAAATAAAAGACGATCAGCTCAAAGCAAAATTAAATCAAAGCAAACAGCTTTGGAACAGAAAAGAGAGAATCTATTGAAAATTGTATGTCAAGCACATTTAAAAAAAAAATTAAAGCAACGATCAACTAGAGACAAGAACTTGTAGTATGTTGGTAACATTCTCCAAAAATACGTTTCACAAGTTAAGTTTTTGTATCTAAAAGTTCTACTGTATATAGAACCTTGAAGGGTTCAGCCAAGTGCTTCATATAGAGCCTTTTAAGGGTTCAAAATATGGGATAATTTTATAGATTTATTTAGCTGTAAATAAATCGTATGAATTAAGCAGCTTGTAAACATACTTTATCAATAGAGATTTTTTTTTACCCGTATCAAGTATTATGCAATTATTTAAGACATGTCTCCTTATAAAAAATCTTTTTGGCATAAAGGTGTCTTTAAAATGGAGTCAAGAACTCTATTCTTTGGTTCTATATTAAACCCCACTGAACCTTTTCTTCTAAGAGTGTCTGCAAGGTTGGTGACTGTTTGTTGTTGGCAGATCTAAACTTACATCTTTGAGGCCTGATGCAGAAGCTCTGCTGAAAAACGAATCTACTGGGAAGCTTAAAGGTGTCATTGTTACAATGAAAGGAGCTCCGACCGTACAGCCTGGATATGACTTCTATTCCCGTTACTTTGCCCCTTGGTATGGAGTCCCTGAAGATCCAGTCTGTGGTGAGTTAAAATTATCAACATAGGTCTTTAAATTCAAAACCTACAATACATATGGAGAAATATGTAGAAGTTTCCACATGTGAATGTAAAGCCATGACTTCTAATGGATATGTACAATGACAACTAGTAACCATAATGTCATATGAATTTGATTCATTCTTCAAAAGACTAATAATTCTTTTTAAAAGGGTCTGCACACACAGTTCTTGCTGGCTACTGGTCTGAAAAGCTGAATAAAAAGAAAATGTTGGGTAAAGACCTTTTTGCCTTTACTGTACTAGAATACAAATCAGAATCCACATTAAAATGAAGCTGATAATGTCACTAGTCCACATAAATGTTTTAAGTTAATGCTAATGGTTTTCTCAAAAAGCTTGAATAAAATACTTTATTTTTCCTCACAATAAAGTACTTATCCCTTCTATATTTGTTTTTCCAGCCTACCAGTGCTCCAGTCGTGGAGGGGAACTGGAGCTGGAGCTCAGGGATGACGGTCGACTCAACATCAGCGGTCGGGCGCAGATCATTCTTCAGGGAACACTTAAAATCTAGATGACTTGCTCAATCTACTCTTTGAATCTGTGAATAGTTTAATGGAATCATGTTAATTTTGTAATTCTTAACAAAGAGCTGCACACTGATTTTTCACTTAGTGGGTGAATATGCCCAAAATTGTTATAAATTGAGATTAGGAGACTAAATACATTTTTTGTAAACATTCTACTATCTGATTAAAAACTATAAGTCTGAAATCCAAATGAATATTTCATTAATTTATAATTAAATATAAATAAAGTTGTCTGTTGGGCAGAGTAAGGCTAGATCTTCTGTTATTTAAATCTAGGATGTGTTACAGTCATAAGGAGTGCATGTATATAGGCCACACACACACACACGCCACTTTATTAGGAACACCTTGCTGGTGCCGGGTTAGACCCCTTTTGTCTTCAGAAATCTTTGTGGCATAGATTCAACAAGGTGCTGGAAACATTTCTCAGAGATTTTGGTCCGAAAATGCCTCGTTGATGCCAGAGTTCAGAGGAGAATGGCCAGACTGGTTCAAGCTGATAGAAAGCCAACAGTAACTCAAATAACCACTCGTTACAACCAATGTATGCAGAAGAGCATCTCTGAACTCACAACATGTCGAACCTTTAAGCAGATGGGCTACAGCAGCAGAAGACCACACCGGGTGACACTCTTGTCAGCTAAGAACAGGTTACAATTCACACGGGCTCACCAAAATTGGACAATAGAAGATTGGAAAAACATTGCCTTGTCTGAATCTAGATTTCTGCTGCGACATTCAGATAATAGGGTCATAATTTGGCGTAAATAACATAAAAGCATGGATCCAACCTGCCTTGTATCAATGGCTACTGTTGGTGGTGTAATGGTGTTTGGGATATATTCTTGACACACTTCCCGCCCCTTAGTACTAATTGAGCATTATTTAAATGCCACAGCTTGAGTATTGTTGCTGACCATCCCTTTAAGTACAGTGTAACAATGCTCTGATGGCTACTTCCAGCAAGATAACATGCCACGTCACAAAGTTCAAATCATCTCAAACTGTTTTCTTGAACATGACAATTAGTTCACTCCACTCAAATGGCCTCCATAGTCACCAGATCTCAATCCAATAGAGCACCTTGGATGTGGTGGAACGTGAGATTTGCATCATGGATGTGCAGCCGACAAATCTGCAGCAATTGCGTGATGCTATCATGTCATTATGGACCTGTCTGTCCTACCTGTCTGTCTCTGTCTGTATACGTCTGAAAACGACAGATAGAAAGATAGGATTTTAAGGATAATATAACAGTGAAAAGTCCATCTAGAAAGACATTTTGAAATCTCAAGTCTGTACCTTTAAACTGAGCTGTTATATCATAAGGTTCAAAGTCTAACTTGATTTCAAATACAGCTCTAAGAATACCTAAAAGGTACGAGAAAAAACCCCCCAGAGAGCTGAAAAGCTGTAATCAATGGAAATTCCAATATTTACTGTTGATGCTTTTACCAATGTACCTTTCAAAGGTAATCCTGCTGCAATATGTCTTATGGAGAATGTAAGTATTATTCTATCACAAGACTATAGATTAGTTATTCATGGTAATAAAATGTAAATGTGTTTATGCAAAAAGTTATAATATATTTCTCTGTGATACATTTAGGAGCTGCAAGATGATCTTTATCAAAGCATTGCTGCTGAGATTAATTTATCAGAGACTGCTTTCATCACAAGACTGAATTCGATGGATTTTTCCTCAGGTATTCTACTGTATTCTGCAGCTGAGATGCATGTTGAAATACTCAAACTCTTACATTTTGAATTTGATGCATTTTGAAAGGTGCAAAGTTTGGGTTACGCTGGTTTAGCACTAAAACTGAGGTTGCACTATGTGGACATGCAACACTGGCCTCAGCAGCAGTGCTCTTTTACATTAAAAGTAAGAAACGCTCATCCTGACATTAATCTTTTACCAAAAAACAATGGACTGATGACTTTTCTAAAAGCACAATACCATCACACAGAGAATATCAACCCTGTTGTGGTGTTTGAGACGATGAGTGGGGATCTTAAGGTGCGCCAGCATGAAGAATCTCTAATAATGGACTTCCCCTTAAACAAACCAAAGCCCCAGGTATGACCAAAAGACACCTCGTGGACCCTTTCTTCAATAAAACTAAAATGGACTCTTTTGATCAATCAAGTAGTTGCTTTTGTTCTGCGTTTTGAATGCTTTATTTGCAGGACCAACATGAAATCAAGGATCTTTTGAAGGTAACGCTGCCAGTTAGTATTTCTGTTTTTACTAAAACACAAGCAGAAAATATTTTGTGATCCCATTTTGACTTATTTTCAGGCTGCTGTTGGAGACTTACCCATTCAGGATGTGTGCTACTGTCCATCCACAAAGAAACTAATGATTCGTCTAGCCGACACCTGCGACAGGTACTGCTGGACATTTCTGAAATTAACAAAGAAAATTATATTGATGATGGCATTGTATTTGTGTGCATTGGGCATTAAATGTGAAAACAGAGAAAAATCAATCTATTGCAAATTCTATGTGAAGTACATTTGAAATGTTTTACGTCAGAGAAAAAAAAAGATCTATCTACAATTTACAACACCGTATGCTAAACATTCTGCATTGTTAATTCTTCATTGTTGGCAGGTCTGAACTAATCTCTTTGAAGCCAGAGGCAGAGACTCTTCTGAGAAATGAGACCACTGGTAAGATTAAAAGTCTCATCGTTACATTGAAAGGACCACAGACCACTCAGTCTGGATATGACTTCTACTCCCGTGTCTTCGCACCCTGGGTTGGTGTCCCTGAAGATCCAGTCACTGGTGAGCAGAACATTCAAAAGCCATTTGAATGAGAAATGTGTACAATGTAAACTCAGAAATATTACTAAACCATCATGATGGGCTTCACTGTACATGCACAAGAGAAATCAATGCTTACTGGCAATCATCAATGCATCGTGCTACAACTTTATTTCTAAAAGGGTCTGCACATACAGTCCTTGCCGGCTATTGGTCTGAGAAGCTGGAGAAAAAGAAAATGATGGGTAACAGCCTCCTATTCCTTCACTGCATCATGTCATCACATACACTGGAATGAATATAAATATATCAATAAACAAGTTTAAAAGTAAACTTCCAAGGATGAGCAATTGTAAATTTCTGCTAACGTGAATAAGACATTTATCTCCGCTATGTTTGTTTTTCTAGCTTACCAGTGTTCCAGTCGTGGTGGTGAGGTAAAGCTGCAGATAAGAGATGACGGTCGACTGGACATCATTGGTCAGGCGCAGATCATTCTTCAGGGAACCTTTAAAATCTAGACAATCTTGCACAACCAATTAATTGAATTTGCAGATAGTTTTGATGGAAATCAAGTGCATTTCATTTTCACTTTATATTAATGTGAGGGTACATTTTAAGTTATGTGCCACTTAATAAAATTTATACAACAGTTCGTCTGGTTCTCGATTCCGATTGGCTGTGAGCCTTTTCCAGTCCAGAGCCATTGATTGCCTATATGTCCGAATCACAGTCGTGCTGATATATGAGCAATATCACACACGTAGCCGTGCAATATCACTCACAGCTGTGCTGATACAGAGCCATATCGCATGGCTACGTAAATAAATATGATCAACAACCGAGTTTTTTTTAAAAACCCTCTTTTGTGTGGAACTACCTTCTGTCACAGATTCATATCTCAAGTCAACAGTTTAACAGTTGAGCCCAAGCCTCCGTTACTAATTACAAACTAGCATCAACTGAACAGTGTTCAAAAAATGCTGGGGAATCATTGAACTTGTGACCCAACAAGAGTGATTATTGATAGGCTGTCTGCAAAGAAAAAAACGCCAATCACATTTTAAAAAAAAAAAAAAAAAATCATCCACTGACTTTCAAAGCTGCTACATGGAAACGACTTTCGACTTCGAAGACCTTGATAGAAATGTAGTAGAGTGAAAAGTACAATATTTGTCTTTCAAATGTAGTTAAAGTCGTAAGTTTCTCGAAAAAAAATAATACTCAAGTGAAGTACAGATACTCAAAAAGTGTACTTAAGTACAGTACTCAAGTAAATGTACTTTGTTACTGTCCACCTTTGATGTTATTTATATAAAATATTACTTATTGAAAAATAATTCAGGGGATATAGGGGATATAGAATAGAATGTAATTTTTGCAATTTATTAAACAAAATCTTTAAATTCTTAAAACAGGAGAAATAACATTAAACAAGTATACAAATACAAATATGTATAATGCACATACACAAAACAGTGATAACACTACATAGATAAAACTGTAATGGATTTAAAAAACATGTGATGAGGTAGGAATTAATTGGGTGAAGACAATTATAATTATGTAAGCATGTACACAGGCCTGTCAATACTGCTGATTCTATATTAAATTTGACATCTATCATTAAAACAAAATAAAAGTTGTCAACAGTTATTTGAAGCTTATGTGTACCATTTCACTTAAATGTTTTCAAGTAATTGTTTCACAGCATTATCTTTGTGCCATACACCAAGTATCAGAAGGGTTTTTGTTTTTATCACAAGTGGATTCCAGGTAGTGCCTCATGGGCGGCAGGAGGTAGCTGGAAGATGTGACTTAAATTAAGGACAATTTCAAAAACGTGGTTTCACCAAAGAAGTTATGCTAATTTCAATGAAAGAGTGACAAAAAGTCACATCAAAAGACTGAATAAACCAGCACTGAGAGTAAACGCAGCTGTAAAGGATATCATATCTTCCTGTTGAAGGTGACGGAGGAGTTTCTCTAGTGGCGCGTACCGGCGAAGGGTGGGGGCCGAGCCCAGCATGAGGAGCTTGTGTTTGGCTCTAGTGATGGCCACATTCAGTCTACGCCAGTCTTGGAGCAACTCTCCCAGCTGAAAAATTATTAGACATCTCAGAATAATGAAAATGATCTAGTGCATAATGGTTCTTCGTTAATCACCACAGCCACAGATCGACCATCATACCATACACATCTGCACTACAATGAACAGATAATTGGTTTAATGGTAAAATAATTTGTTAGTTTAAAATTCACTTACGTTGCCCTCAGGGTTGCTTCTAACAAAGGACACAATGATGACACTCTTGTCACGTCCTTGGTATTTGTCCACAGTGTTGACTTCCAGAGCTTTAAAGGCGTCTCCCTGTAGCAGACTGGAGATGGCTTTCAGCTGTTGCCGATATGGAGCAATGACCCCAATATCAGACGCTCTGCATCCAGCCTACGACACATTTAAAATGACCATTTCATTGCAAGCTCTACGTGGAAATAAATAAATAAATAAATTTCAGTGTTTCATACAACTAATGGCATGTTCGGACCTTGAGCAGCAAAGTGACAAGGGCTTGTACCAAGATGGCTTCTGTGTGGTTGCTGATTCCACTTTTCTCCACAGTCTCATTGGCGGGAACCTGAAGAAAGGTACAGTACATAAGGATAAGGTAGGAAAAGAACATTTAGGATTACATAATAGGCAAAATGAGATAAAGTCTAAAGCCCTGTTCACACTGTCGGCGACTTTTTCGCTGCATGTCACTAGCCTCTGTACTGTGAAGTCGCTCTAATGTTTTTGGTAGACTGCACTCTGGACATATCTTTATATATTGCCAGGAAAACTAAGATATTCTAATTTGACTGTTGCTGCATGCCACATGAACGGGGCTTTAAAAAAAAGAAAAGAAAGTAAGACTGACCTCAGAGGTGTCCAGGAAACAGACAGGACTATTGGGCTCCAGTGCAGCCTGGACCCAAGCACTGTACTGTGGCTGACACACATACAGGTCCAGTTCCTTCTCAACCTGAGCTCTTCTGGGCAGCTGCAGCACTGCGCTTGCCGTCCTTTCAGAACCACACTCCAGTCGGCCCTCGTACATCAGAGCATTGCTCAGGGACATGATCGCACTGCAGGACACAAAACAAGTGTAAGAGCTGCACAGCTGCAGCTGGTGGTTGTGAATATTCTCACAAATGTATCAGAAAAATCACCTACTAGTATTCTACTTGATTTTTAAATAGATATATTTAATATTAAAAAGGATTAGTCAGTCTTTAACCCCCCATTTTGTTTTTTAATTTGCCATTTAACAATCACATATGTACAGTCTGAATGTCTGACTGGTGTAAATCCCCACCTGTTCATTCGATATTGCACATTCAACTGAACGACTGCATCACTGTGGTGCTCCAGACGCTTAAACAAACTCTCATCCATGCCCAAGGTCCTGAGTAAAAAAAAGAAAGAAAAAGGTTTGTGGTCAAATAATGGGGTAGAGTAATAATATGGTGATGGTTTAACTTGGCTAGTTTTGGGAGCTTCATATTTGTGATTAAAACAAGCTGTATTCAACGATGCAAAACATGAAAATCTTGCACAAGTTCATCTGAATGCAGGCAAAAGTGTACTACCTGGCTTCAGCATTCTGCACAATAGGAGGAAGCTGTTGGTGGTCTCCCACCAGGACAAAGCGCTGGGCGTAGAACAGCGGTCCCAAACATACAGGTTGACTGATCTGAGACGCCTCATCCACGATGCAGAAGTCAAAGCGCCTGCGGCTGAAAATTGGGTGTTTCACACCCATACAGGTGGTGGCCACGATAAGCTACAAGAAATGATATTAATACAGTGATATTTACAATGATAAATTCAATTCAATTCAATTCAAATTTATTTGTATAGCGCTTTTCACAATACATATTGTTTCAAAGCAGCTTTACAGAAAGTGCAGCAGCTTTACAGAAAGTGCAAATAAATAATTTGCATAATGTGAAACAGTCATTTTCCCATTATCCCTCACATGTCACATACACTACAATTCAAAAGTTTGGGGTCAGACAAGGAAGTCCAGATTCTTTTTACTTCAATACTTATTTAGCTATTTAAATTGATCAAAAGTGACAGTAAAGACATTTATAATGATACAAAAGATTTCTATTTCAAATAAATTCTGTTCTTAACTTTCTATTCATTAAAGAATCCTGAAAAAATTTATTGGTTTGCATAAAAACATTTCTTATTATTATCAATGTTGAAAACAGCTGTGCTGCTTAATATGTTTGAGCAGCAAATCAGCATATTAGAATGATTTCTGAAGGATCACGTGACTCTGAAGACTAGAGTAATGATGCTGAAAATTCAGTTGTGCCATCACAGGAATAAATTACATTTTAAAATATATAAATTGTAATATATCAAATTGTAATAATATTTTTAACTGTATTTTTGATCAAATAAATGCCACCTTGGTGAGCATAAGAGACTTTTAAAATGCATTGAAAATCTTATAGACACCAAACTTTTGAACTGTAATGTATGCGTTATATACTGTACAAGACTGAGAGGATTTTAATATGTATTACTTCTTTACTGTACAGCTGTTCCAGCTCTTCTAGTGTCTGCATGCCTTTGGCACGACACGACTCCTCTGTGAAGGGCAGGATGTCATGGTGCACTTTTTGAGTACGACCCAGTCGCAGGAAGCCGATCTTAAACTTCTTCAGTTTCAGGAGGATGTTGTCCACAGCAGAGTGGGTGTAGCTAGTCAGAAGAACACTAAATCCACAAGCATGGAGTATCCGCACCTATAAAACAAGGAAGTGCAAAATAAATGTCAGATTAATATTCCTTTGTTCACATATAGAAACCACTAGCATACACAGTAAGTTTAATTCTACACGTCAGAAAAAAATGTATGTAAACAAAATCATGCTTACATTTATTAATGTACATGTATTTACTGAATATGAAATTAATTCATAAATAAGCCCTTACACTCTTACCAGTGTACAAATGGTGGTAGTTTTCCCAGTACCTGGCATTCCCACAATAAGCGTGTAATCTCTGGACAGTAGCACTTTTTTCATGGCTTGTTTCTGGGGTTTATTGAGTCCTGAGAAGCAAAATATGATTAAAACACATCATGTAGGAGCAGAGATCCTCTATTATACACAAGAACACATTAAGGGCATGTTTGAAAGCAGATCACTGCAGAAAGATTGAAATGATGGTTTATTGAGAGAAGGCAGTGTATGAACACACCTTTCAGAATGTTGGCCACAGTGTCCTTGGCGTCTCGTGGCAAAACACTGCTGAGGCTGTCAATGAACTGGGGAGGCCTGAATTCCACAATCAACTCCCTCAATCTTTCACTGCATAATGTACACATTGAGCTTTTCATATAGATAAAAAACACACACATTTTAAGAGACTAAACAAAAAGAAAATGATGATCAGACCTGGTTGGAGTGTTTTCCATTAACATAGACAGGTTTCCTAGATGAGTGCTAAGACCGCCTGCACCTTCATCCTGGTCCAGTCGGAAAACTGTGTTTGAGGAATACTTTGAGAGGTTTCTGAAATTATAGGAATGTGAAATTAAGCTTTGATA